GTGTCGTTGGCTTGAGCCGTACTTCAGTTGGAAAAAGAACTAAACAACAACAACAACAACAACAAACAAACAAACTAAATAACAAAAACAAAACAAAAAAGAACCTACAACAAAAGTAAATCACAAGCCTCAATAATCAGCGCCTCTAGCGTGTCCTTGACCCAAGCCGTCCTCCCGTTGGAGAAAGAACAAAAAATTAAAAAACAAAAACAAAAAGAACCCACAACAAAAACATCTTGCAAGCTTCAATAACCAGAGCCTCCTGAACCCCCACCCCCCAACCCCCAAAAAAAAACAAACAAAAAACAAACTTTAAAAAACAGCCCAAAGACCCCACAACAAAACAACTCACAAGCTTCAATAACCAGCGCCTCTAGCGTGTCGTTGACCCGGGTAGTACTTCCGTTGGAGAAGGTCACGTGCAGGTCCACCGTACATCCGTAAGTTCCCAGGTCTTGGGTCCGCGCAGACGGCAGGAACAGGGAGTGGTTGGAGAACACAGACGCCCTGGCGGGTACAGCCCCTCCCTCCAACAGCCACGTGTAGGACAGTACCGCCTTGGAAACAGCAACATCTTCATCAGCAATAGCGTCCACAACAGCAACAGCGTTCTCTGGCGCAACAGCACCAGCAGAGGCTTTAGCCTGACAGCTCAGCACGAGATCCTTCCCCAGGGCGATAGCTTTGTTCTGTGGTCGTTCAACCCATTCTGGAGAATACAAAGGATTGGTTTGTTTGCTGGGGGGGTTGGGGGTGGAGGGGGTATTTCGAAGACATTTTTGTTTGTTTTATTGTTAGTTTGTTTTGTTGTTTGTTTGTTCAATGGTGTGAATATTTGTTTGTTTGTTTGTTTACTTGGGGGTGGGGGGTTGTTTTTTGATGTTTGGTTGGTTGGTTGGTTGGTTGGTTGGTTGGTTGGTTGGTTGGTTGGTTGGTTGGTTGGTTGGTTTTTTTGTTTGTTTGTTTGTTTGTTTGCTGTTTAGGGGGTGGAAGAATTGTATAAACGTGTTTGTGATTTTTTTTCTTTCGTGTCCAAATAACCCAATAGTGTCGGTGGATAAGTGGGTTGTGGTTTAAGTTTGGTATCAATTAATGTATCTTGTATAGTCGTTTCAAGATTTCTTTTGTCTTATCTTTTTTTAGAATACGAACTTGTACGTTGATAATTGAGGCTCTCTTCTTGTGAGATATTTTCTCACAAACAGCATTTTAAAATATATACAGCCTTAATTTCCTCTCTCTCTCTTCTCTCTCTCTCTCTCTCTCTCTCTCTCCCTCTCTCTCTCTCCCTCCGTCTGTCAATCTGTCTGTCTACCTGTCTACCTGTCTACCTGTCTACCTTCCGTCTGTTTCTCAGTCAGTCTGTCTGTCTGTCTGTCTGTCTGTCTCTGTTTGTCTGTGTCTATCTCTGTTTCTCTCTGTCTCTGTCTCTCTTTGGGGATCGGGGTGGAATAAAAGAGAGGGGCAAGAAAGAGGACAAGGAGAGAAAGAAGTCCACATGCATACAAACAGGGCTTGTCTATCTTAACCTTTGCTTAAATGAAATCCATCGGAAAGAAACAGACCAGTTCTTTAAGTCCCCAATACCCCCCGTCGGGAAGGTCAGACATAAGTAAGGTCTCAGCAAATAGTGTGTATTTTTCTTTACTTCTTCCACCTTTGACCTCATCGACCTCATATGAGCCTTTTCCACAGGCCACGGTCCTTTCTCAACAGAGCGTGTATACGTCTGATTTGTTTTGTCATGTGTGGGGTTTCCTTTTTTTAACGTCGACAAAAACGATTTTGTGCGTTGTTAGCAGGTGCTCTGGTGTGGTTTGCTCCTTCCTATTAAACATCTATCTTCCTCATCTCTCCTCCTTTTTTTGTGTTTGTTACTTCCTTGTAACACTTCTAATCTTTGGCATTTATACGACCTATATTTCTGTTACAAAGTGCCGTTAAAAAAACTCTTACTAATACGAAACCAAAAGACAATTAGTTTGAACGTTAGTAACTGTCGTGCACTCCTTCTTTCTCTTCATCCACAGAAAGTGTGTCCTACAAGTTTGGGCCCGGGCCCGGTCTCATGACCTTTGCCCACCTAGCTGATCACGAGCCGTCCACAAACTTCGACAATCTGGCCTTTGGTTTCAAGACCTTTCTGTCACACGCCATCCTTCTCCGGATGGACAGTCGGGCCTACGACGACTTTATACA